TTCTTGTCTGAGAAACTCTTTATATGTCCATCGATTCTAAATGATAGTTTTGCAGGATAGAGTAATCTTGGTTGTAGGTCCTTGCTTTTCATCACTCTGAATATTTCTTGCCACTCCCTTCTGGTCTGCAAAGTTTCTTTACAGCTGACAGCCTTATGGGAGCTGGCTTGTAGGTAGCTAACTGCTTTTCTCCTGCCACTTTTAAGATTCTCTCTTTGTCTTGAATCTTTTGCATTTTGATGATGTGTCTTAGTGTGGGCCTCTTGAGGTTCATCTTGTTTGGGACTCTCTGCTTCCTGGACTTGTATGTCTGTTTCCTTCATCAAGTTAGGGAAGTTTTCTGTCATTAATGTTTCAAATAGGTTTTCAATTTCTTGTTCTCTCTTTTCTTCTGGCACCCCCATGATGCAAATGTTGGTATGCTTGAAGTTGTCCCAGAGGCTACTTACACCATCTTCATATTTTTGGATTCTTTTTTCTTCTTGCTGTCCTGATTGGGTGTTTTTTGCTTCCTTATATTCCAAATCGATGGTTTGCTTCTTGTCTTTACCTACTCTACTATTGAATCTGTGTAAATTATTCTTTATTTCAGTTAGTGCCTATTTCATTTCTGACTGGTCCTTTTTTTATGCTCTTGAGGCCCTTACTAAGTTCCTTGAAGTTCTCATTAAGTTCACTGAGCATCCTTGTAAGCAGTATTTTGAACTCTGCATCTGTTAGATTGCTTATCTGTATTTCATTTAGTTCTTTTCCTGGAGTTATGTTCTGTTCTTTATTTGGGACCTGTTTCTTTGTCTCCTCATTTTGGCTGCCTGCCTGTGTTGTGGTGTGACAGAGTCAAAGAAAGACCACTAGAGAATTGAAGTCCAAATTATAGCCGTTTATTAGCCAGCCGGCATCTTATTCCGAACACCCTTGTGACAGAGTCTTCAGAATCAGCCTCGATATGCTTTATTATATTCCTTTTATACCGTACAACAAAAGTTCAATGATATAAGAAAATAAGATCTTCTTGATATAATGTCCAGGGCTACAACAATGCTGTTTAGAATTAGTTTGCCTTGCGGATAACAGGAACACCCAAGCAGGGTCAAACTTAGCTCTGAGCTGCACAAACACAATGCAAGCCCAATTCCTTGAGATTGTGGGGGAGGTCGAGTCTCTGACTCAAATCCTCCAGGCTCTGTGCACTCTGTCAGACACATAGCAGGCTCCCAACAATTTCTTGGTTCACGGGGTCTTTACCAAACAGGTTCAGCTAGAGGGCACACAGTGACTTTTCCAAATATCAATTATGGAGCTATAAAACAAGTTAGCACAATAATTTACCAATCATCAATTATGGGGTTATAAACATGCAAGCATGTTTTTATGTATTAGGTAGAGTTGCTGTGTCGCCTAGGCCTCCAAGGTGGCCTGTTGTAGTAGGTTTCCTGTCCTGTAGGGTCCAGTGGCACAGCCTCCCTGATATCCCAGCTGGGCCCTCGAGGTGCACCCCTCATGTTGACTTTATACCCTTCTGTTGTAATTGAGTCTTGATGACTGCTGGCACATCAATGAGAGTGCTTTACTCAGGCTGATCAGCTACAAGGACTGGCAGTGCCCACACACCACCGACCTCTGACTACCTTGGATGAGCAGCTGTGTAGGGGCCCACTACACAGAGCAAGACTTATTTCAGTAAGGCTCTGGTATCCACTGAGTCCACTCATTGAGTGTGTCACTTGTGGAGGTGGTTGGGTAGTGGTGTTTCAATGTGATCTGAAGCTGTCCACATGGTGTGCTGGCTCTGGGGCCAAGTCAGCCACTGTCTGTGTTCTACCTGGGGCCACCAGGCATATGCTACAAATCAGTCTGCGGATGGCTGCTTCTTATGCTGGGCTTGAAGGTGCCCAGGCAAAGCCAAGTTGTGAACCAAGGCTGGCTGCTTCTAGTGCTAGGTCTGGGGCCACTTAACGAGAGGTATGGTTATTGCTATTGCCAGATGCTGCTTGGTTGAGAGAATTTAGGAGAATCTGAAGCAGCATCCAAGACAAGCCTTTCCTCTGGTGAAGCAACTGTTGACAGCTTGGGTGGGCCTGAAATTTGGGTGGTGCAGGGCCTCAGGGAATCACCAGGGTGGGACATAGTGTGAGCCAGGTTGCTGGAGTCCCAGATGTGACTGCAGTCTGCCTGGCCTCATGGGGAAAGGGCTAACCAAAGGAAAAAGGCCTCTGACAACACGTCTATCCAGGAGAAAGCTGCCTCTCCAGCCCTTGCCACAATGCCAAACAACTCAGTTCTTCCTCGTATGTCTCTGGTGCTTTTTAAGTTACCTCCCCTATGCTGGAGCCTGGAGGGTACAAGTCTAAATAAGTATGTGTGAGAGCCCTTTAGGAAGAGCTGCCTGGGGCTCCCTCAGCCTCAGTTCCCGCTGGTTTTTATTTTTTTTTATTTTTATTTTTTTATCCTCACCCGAGGATATTTTTCCATTTTTTGTACAGATAGAGTGGGAGGGAGAGAGAGGAAGGGAGAGAGAGAGAGAAACATCGATGTGAAGGGACACATCGAGTGGCTGCCACCCGCACGACCAACCAGGGCCGGGGACAAACTGCAACCGAAGTACGTGCCCTTAGCGGGAACCGAACCCAGGTCTCTCCAGACCGCAGGCCGACACTCTAACCGCTGAGCCAAACTGGCCAGGGCAGTTCCCGCTGGTTTTACAGCCAGAAGTTATGGGGACTTTTCCTGGCACTGGAAGCCTGAGCTGGGAGCCTGATGTGGGAGGGGGACTCCTTACTCCTCAGGGAGGACCTTCCCAGCTGAGGTGTCTTCCTGATTTTTATCCACCACACATGGGTGTGGGACCAGCCATCTGCACCTGCGCTCCTCCATTTTGTAGTTGTAGGACTTTTGTTCAGCTTGATTTTAGGCACTTTTGAATGATGGTTGTTCTGTAGTTTAGTTGTAATTTTGATGTGGTTGTGGGAGGACGTAATACCATGTTTACCTACACTGCCATCTTGACCGGAAGTCCTACAGCTATTTGTTTTTAAATGTTGGGTTGGCGGGACCCATTGTGCCAGCAGGAACTCCTGCAGTTGGGCCTCCTGCCAAATGTCAAGAGTAGCTGGTTCCCTGTGGGTAGAAAGTCACCAAGTAATAGTTTCAGTCATTCAACTTGACTGAGCCTACCATGTGCCAAGTGCTGGACTATACAACTGGGGAAAACACACAAGACATGGTCTCCTCCCTGGAACACTGTGATAACCCTTGTACTGAGTTGCTCACTGTGAGCTGTGGGCACAGAGGGAGTAATCGGCTCTGCATGCCAGGTTGAGGAAGCCTCCACCAGGGAGTGACATTTGAGCTGAATCTTGAAGGATGAGTAAGAGTTCCCTAGTTTTTAGAAGAGTGGGTGGGGCATTGCAAGCAGAGGAAGCAGAGAGAAAGAGGGCCTGGTTTGAGTAATTTGGTATGAAAACAGATTTTGTGGGATGAACTTTGATTGAAAAAAAAAAAAGACTTCGAATCCTTGTTTTTAGTTCAGAAGAGAAAAAACTCTCAAGCTCCCACTTGTCATAACCACAGTGTTTTCCAAATCAATGTTTATGCTAAGATGAACCGTTGAACTTAAACAATTTAGGATAGTGAACATCCTCTTGTCTAAGAACACTTGGATATCAGAGATATAAGGGAAACAGGTTATTGTTATAGTATAGCAAGTTGTTATTATTGCCAACATTTTGCTAAAGAAATTGTCAGTGATCTTTGAAGATTTCTAAGAAGAGCAACCTAAACAGGAATGTTGTAATACAGGTAATCTCATGGAGAAAATTTTTAAAAATCTTCAGGCAACAAAACAGCAACAAATACCTCACCAATCTTGACGTATAACATTTTTTTCTGTAAGGTAAGATCAAGGGAGGTAATTCTATAGTGCAAGTTAGGGTTAGTGAGGTCTGTCAAGAAGTATTTTCTTGCATCAAAGTAGATAGAGATAATGTGCTATGGGGGGTCAGAGAAAGAAAAGGTTACTTCTAAATTAAGAGATGAAGAAGGGCCTTAAAGAATAGATAGGATTCACACATGTTGTATAACTCTGTTAGATGAACTGTCCAGAGAAGGCAAATTTATAGAAACAGTTGATCCCTGGTTGCCTGAGGCTGGGAGTAGGAGAAAAGATTAACTGTATATAGGCTCAAGAAAACTTTTTGGAGTGATGGTAATCTTCTAAAACAAGATGAGTGCTAGTTGTACTACTTTATAAATACTAAATATTATTGCATACAATGGGTGAATTTTATGTAAGTTGTACCTCAAAGACCTATAAAAAGAAAAAAGAACATTAATTCTATTGGGTTGCATATCTCAGTCAATTCTTTGGGTCCCATTTTTTTTTTTTTTTTTTCATTTATCTTTATTGTTGAAAGAATTACAGATGTTCCTTTTATCCCCTATTGACTCCTCTCCTCCATGCTCCCTGCTTCACCACACTATTGTCTGTGTCCCTTTGTCATGCATATGTGTATAAATTCTTTGGTTTGGCTCCCCCTGCCCTCTGAAGTTTATCAATCTGTTTCCTACTTCCTTGTCTCTGGGTCTATTTTATTAATCGGATTCCACAAATAAGTGAAATCATGTAATACTTGTCTTTCTCTGGCTTATTTCACTTAATCACTCTGTTTTAGTTTTTAAAACATTTATTAAGAAAAAAATTTGAAACTTGAAAAGGTTAGTAATGTTTTAATCTTTAATGTTTTAATCTGGTTTTTTTTTGGGGGGGGGGGTACGTGCCCCTAGTGGGAACCAAACCCGGGACTCTGTGGTCCACAGGCCAATGCTCCAATTGCTGAGCCAAACCAGTTAGGGCAAAAAGGTTAATAATGTTTTAAATGGTAAAGGTAAAAGTTTGCAAAGGTGGAAACTGGAAATTGTGTTGCTTTCATGGCATTTGCACGACCTTTTGTTGAGTACCAATAAGTTTTATCTGAATTATCTGCAAGGCAATGGATAACCCAGCAGAAGTCGAACAAGATACCAGACTAGTCCTACTGCAAAGTGGACAATGGGCCAGATAAAGCACATCAGCAGGAACTGCTGGAAGCTAAAAGTAGGGCATATAACTGACACCCCAACCCTGATTTGCCTGCACCCAAGCATATACAATAAAGCCATATTGCTCTACATTGGCCTTGCTTGTGGATGTAATCTCCTGCTAGCTCAGACCTTTTATTTGGTGCCAAAATCCGGGAGGTCTGGGAGGATCCCACATGGAGGCAACCGCAGGTCCCTGGAACCTTCCAGACCTCCTGTCGGACCGGGATTGATCACATCTTCAGCCGGATACTGGACCTCCAACCTTTCCTGCTGATCCAGCATCAACACCGGACACTAATTCACTGGTGAGTGTTTTTTTTCCCTACTGGTCTGATTCTCTGGGTTGTCTCATTATCCCCTATCCGGGACATGAGAGCCAGGTCTCTCGGTCATGTCTGTGTGATCATCCCTCTCAAAATCCAACGCTGGTTGGGACACGCTCCTTTGTGAACCAGGTTCCCTCAGCTCACCATATATCTAGGGACGCCTGATAATGGTGAGCTGCATATCTCTCTACTCGAGGGGAGGAGCAGAGACGCCTTCTTCTTCCACTAGTGCAGTGGTTTTTAACCTTCCTAATGCCGTGACCCTTTAATACAGTTCCTCATGTTGGGGTGACCCCCAACCATAAAATTATTTTTGTTGCTACTTCATAACTGTAATTTTGCTACTGTTATGTCTTAGGCAACTCCTGTGAAAGGACTGTTCAACACCTAAAGGGGTTGCGACCCACAGGTTGAGAACCGCTGCACTAGTGTAATCCGCCGAACCGCTAGGCCATGACATCTCACACCGCAACATGGGAAACGTTCAATTGTCCATATCTCGTGCAACACCACAGGATGTCTCCTAAAAAATCCACAGATGCTAGGGCTCGCTCAGAATTTATGTCCCAAGTGAGTCACTTTTCACTGCAACACTGTGTGACCTCAGTACAAATAAGACAGTGGGTCACAGTAGCCTGAGAACGGCATTTTTGACATTCCCACTGACCTAAACAATTTCTGTCAAAGGCAAAGAAAATGGTCTGAGTTCCTTACATCCAGGCTCCTTTGCACTCAGATCACACCCCTCTTTATGTGATTCTTGCTCACTCCCCCAAATCTTCCTACTCCACTTTCATCCTCCCAAACGGCCCTTTGAAGACAGCATGCCAACTTCTGTTTCCTCCTTGACCAGCGATCTCGCTCCACCACCTCCTCCTCCAGCCCCTTCTGTGGGCCTCCCTTGAACCTCCTTGAACCTCCTACTCCGGCTCCCACTCTTCTACCCCCACAAATGACTCCCTCACACACAGGATCAATCGGGAACCATCTCTGGTCCCTATTCGTCCCCTACTGTGGCCCCCATTTTAGAATGTCCCCTGAGGGCAGCAATGGGAGTTGAAGCGACTGTCAAAGTTCATGTCCCCTTCTCTCTCTCAGATTTGTCCCAAATACATAAAAGACCAGGATCCTTTACTCTGAAATAATCCAGGAAAGGAATGAAAACCCTGCAACCTTTCTATCCCGCCTTACACAGGCTATGAGAAGATACACTAACTTAGATCCTACTAGCTCAGAAGGGACTATCATTTTAAACCTGAGATTTATCTCTTAGTCAACCCCAGACATTAGGAGAAAGTTACAAAAACTTGAAGATGGCCCTCAAACCCCTCAATGGGAACTTCTAAATCTAGCATTTAAGGTGCTCAATAATCGTGATGAAGAGGCTAACTAGCAAAGAATAGCAGAATTCCAAATGCTTGTCTCTGCCATCAGAGCCCCTACTAATCAAAGGGGTTGACAAACCCCCTTCAGGGGACAGAAGAAGGGCACCCACCAAGATCAGCAGAGCAGACCCCCAGGTACCTGCTTTAAGTGTAATCAGACTGGCCACTGGGTGAGGCAGTGTCCCAGTCCTTGACCACCACCTAAGCCATGTCCTCAATGTGGAGGACCCTACTGGAAGTCAGACTGCGGACAGACTGCTCAGAGTCGGTCCTCATCTCTTCCTCAGGCTGCAGGCAATCCAGGCCTTGATCTGATTGGCCTGGAGCCTGAAGATGGAAGGTGCCCAGGAAAGGATGCCCCAACCTTCATCTCAAACTCCGAACCTCAGGTAAGTCTGATGATAGCAGGTAGGCCAATTTCATTGTTAATTGATACCAGGGCAACCTACTCTGCCATCCCCAAGTTCAGGGGATCTCTTCAATGCTCTGGGGTTTCAGCTGTGAGAATTGATGGCCAAATATCACAACCCAGGGCAACCCAGACACTCACTTGTTCTTTAGGCCCTTATATCTTTCTCCACTCTTTTCTTGCATTACCAGCCTGCCCCACTCCTTTGTTAGGGTGGGACACTCTATCTAAACTCCATGCTACTTTAACCTTTACTCCTACCCTACCCACCAACCCCTTTTATTCTTTACTTTGTCTCCCCCAAGAATCTGCTTCCTCTCCTAATATAAACCCTGGTGCCCCTCCGTCCCCTTGAGGAGGCAGGGTGGGGTCCACTGGCCTTGCTCACCTCTGGTGAAATACCACAACTCTTATTTTTTTCACTGACCCAGTGAGGCAGGGGCTGGGGGGGAAGCCCCAGGGTCTCTCGTTTCTGGCACTATGCATTCAGCCAGGTGGGCTGGGCACCACCTGCTCTGGGAACAGTGCTAGGTGGGGAGCTTGACTGGGACAGTACATCTGTCAATAGATAACACAGGTGTCCTAAGGCGAGCTCAGGGACAGAAACCTCCTGTGGAGCAGAAGGGCAAAAGCTCTTTTGATCTTGATTCTCAGTATGAATACACACTGTGAAAGTGGGCACCACTTACAATATCTCTCACTGTAACCTTACGAGGGGTACCTGTAATCTAACTATTCATGATGTGTCTACCCCTGCAATGGGAATTTATATGTGCAAGCTCAGAGGGACTTGATGCAATACCAAAAAAGTAAATTATACCAGGAAAGTTAGTCACTATCCAGGATGTGGTTCTGCCAGTGGCACTAGCCCTCTTCTCTGTCATGGTTTAATCATTCGAGCCTTACTATGGGTCTGTCAAACACCTCCCGAGGCCCAAATATGACTGGACTACTTGGCTTATCAGTGGGAATGATGTTTTTAGGTACACTAAACATTTCTGCTTCCAGGAGAAGAATTGCTTTTCACTGCCTAAACCCAGAAAAACAGTGGCTTATGGGCAGGAGGATACGTCACCCCAGCCAATACCTTAATCCATTCCTTCATTCCTAATTCAACCTCATCAAGCCCTGAGCTCAGAAGACATCATAGGGCAAAAAGGAAGTCGGACTCCTCATATCAGGAGTCATAGCTGCAATCACTACTGCGGGCCTCATGGGAGGAATTACTTATAACACCATAACAGCAAAACACATAATTGGCAAATTATACACCATTGGCAAAAAACACACCATGGCAAATATAGGTAGAGATACCAGTGAAAATTTCAAGCTTCTTTCCAAATCCTTGACTCTCTTGCTTACGTGGTAATGGATAATCGCATTGCACTAGATTATTTACTAGCCAAAAAAGGAGGTGTATGCATGAAAGCAAATACATCTTGTTGCTTCTATGTTAACTGGAGAGGTCAAGGAAAGGACACAACGAATTCTAGATAATGCCCTGTTGGTAAAGGAATTTAGTCAGGATCACCTAGCCCAATCTCTCTGAACAAGTATAAAGGCAGCCTTGCCTAAACTAACCTGGCTTTCTCCCTTCATAGGGCCCCTAGTATTAGCCATCTTATTATTTCTTTTCAGACCCTGTCTCTTGCTCCTGATTACTAGGTTTGTACAAAATCAACTTCAAATGTTAGTCAACCAGACAGTTGGACAATTTGTTGTAGCACAAGTAAAAGGACCCTATCACCCCATTCCCCAAGTAGTTATCTAACAAATTCTTTTTAGGAGTCCATGATGAGCTCACACCTGCAGGAAGTAGACCAATAACAACTTTGCCCCTTTTCCCTTTTTTATCATCATCATAAGGTGGGAATGAAAGGGTTAATAATGTTTTAAAGAGTAAAGGTCAAAGTTTGTAAAGGTGGAAACTGGAAATTGAATTGCTTTCATGACATTTTCATGGCCTTTTGTTGAGTACAGATAAGGTTTATCTGAATTATTCGCAAGGCAATGGATAACCCAGCAGATGCTGGACAAGATAGACCAGACCTACTGCAAAGTGGACAATGGGCCAGATATATTACATTAGCAGGAACTCCCAGAAGCTAAAAGTAGAGCATATAACTGACACCCCAAGCCTGATTGTAGGTTGACCTTCTCGGCTCAGCCTGCCTGCACCCAGGCATATACAATAAAGCCATTTTCTCTACATTGGCCTTGTGTTGTGGATGTGATCTCCCATCAGCTCAGACCTTTAAAAACTCATACAACTCATAAAACTCAAAAACAACCCACCCTATTTACAAGTGGGCAAAGTATTTTAATAGATATTTCTCAAAAGAAGACATACATTAGTATTTATGGTCCTCAGGTATATGAAAAGGTGCTTAACATCATGTACATTCAGAAAGTACAAAACAACAAAATATCATCTTACTCCTGCTAGAATAGCTATTATTAAAAAGACAATAGGTAACAAGTGTTGGTAACAATAGATAACAAGTGTTGGCAAAAATATGAAGAAAAGGGAGCCTTCGTACACTGTTGGTGGGAATATAAATTGAAACACCCACTATGGAAAACAGTATAGATTTGTCAAGGAGAAATATCTATTCAGCCAGAGACTACATTTTCCAGCTGCCCCAATCCATCCCAATATTATACTATTCGGTATGACTATATTATAGTCAATGAAATGTGAAGAGATGATGTCACCTTTCTTAGGCCTAGCCAATAAAAACTTCCCCCATGGCATTCCTGTATTTTACTTCCAGCTAACTGGAATGGAGACAACCCTGGGGTTATGTTGATAGTAACTGAGTTCCTAGCCACCCTATAGACCTCTTACCCTGCCCAGTAATATAACATTCCAGCACTGTTATGTGAACCAGAAATGAACTATTTAATTTAGGTGGTTATACATTTGTCACAGCAATTTTCACACCTTAATGAATTTGGAAATGAATACTTTTAAATTAAGTGCTGATTAGCAAAAAACAAAATATAGAGCAGGGGCTTAGCTATAATGGATGGTAAGAAAATAGATATCTCGAGCTAGAAAGACAGAGCCCATGATATAAAAAAGCATACATTTAAAAAATTATATTAAACTGTCCATCTTGACATTCTATAAAGAAAGTCAAGAGAGCCCTGGCTGTTTTTTCTCAGTGGTTAGAGCATCAGCCCATGAACCCGAGTCCCGGGTTCGGTTCCTGCTAAGGGCATGTACCTCGGTTGCATTTTGCCCCTGGCCCTGGTTGGGTTTGTGTGGGTGGCAACCACTCGATGTGTCTCTCTCACATCAATGTTTCTCTCTCTCTTCCTCCTTCTCTCGCTGCCGCTCTATCTAAAGATAAATGCAACATGTCCTCGGGTGAGGATAAAAAAGAAAAGCAAGAGAGTCCTGGCTGGATGGCTCAGTTGGTTGGAGCATTGTCTCGTACACCAAAATATTGTGGGTTTGATTCCTGGTCAGGGCAAATACCTAGGTTGTCAGTTTGATCCCCAGTTGGGGTGTGTAAGGGAGGCAACCTATCAAAATTTCTCTCTCACATGGATCTTTTTCTCTCTTCCTCTCTCTCTCTCTTTCCCTTCCTTTCTCTTTAACACACCCTTGTGAGGATTAAAAAAGAAAGAAAAGAAGAGAATAATGATAAATATAAAAACAAGGTAAGGATGAAGAGGGATGGGATTGAGGAAAGGCTAACAATTTCTAAGGTACTGACAATATTCTATTTCATAATCTGAGTAAGTAATGGTGTTCATTTTATTATTTTTCTTGAAAACCTACATACATGTTTTGTACATGCTTTTGTATATACAATAAAAAAAAAGTACAGGACTTCCAGTCAAGATGGTGGTGTAGGTAAAGGCAGTACTAAGATCCTCCCACAACCACATCAAAGTTACAACTAAACTACAGAACAGCCATCATTTAGAACCACCTGAAATCTAGCTGAATGAAAGTTCTACAAATAGGGATTTAAAGAAGTAGCCACATCGAGACTGGTAGAGGAGGAGTGGAGACACAGAACAGTCTGGGCCCATAGCAAAATGTCACAGATAAAAATCAGGAGAGGCATCTCAGTTGTGAAGGTTGTCCCTGAGGACCAAGGGGTCCCAGCCCCACACACCCCCAAACCAGGGTTCCAGTGCCAGGGAAAAAAGTCCCTATAACTTCTGGCTGTCAAAACCAGTGGGGATTGTGGCAGTTCCTCTTAAAGTGCCCATACATGGACTTACTTGGACCCACTCCCTCTGAGCTCTATGTTGAGACAACATCTTGATAGGAACCAGGGACACAGGGAGGAACTGAGTTGTCTGGCATCAACATAAGAGCTGGGGAACAGCTCTCTGCTAGACAAAAGTGCTGGCATTAGCCATTGTTCCTTTTCTGAGATTCCCTCACCACCCTCTCCCCCTAGCTGGCAGGTGTGCACCGTATCTAAGTCTCCATCAACCTGGCTCACACTGCTCACTCCACCCTAATGATTCCCTGAGACCCCTCCCCACTCAGCTTGCAGGACCTACCAAGCTATTTCCAGTCCATCTTGGCTCATGCTTTAAATCTTCCAAAACTCTCTCAAATAACCAGCATCTGACCTCAGCATGCCCAATACCTCTCATTAAGTGGCCCCAAGCCTAGCACTAAGGGAAGCTGGCCTTAGTTCACAGCTTGGTCATGCCTGGGCCTCTCTAGGCCCAACACAAATAGCAGCCATCTGCAGATCACATTATATAGCTCATGCTGGGTGGCCCCAAACAGAACACAAGTGGTAGCTGATCTTTTCCTAGCCTCCCAGGAGGCCCCTGAGCCAGCACACCTGGTAGACAGCTTCAGACCACATCCAGCACCACCCAACCACCTCCACAAGTGACACACAAAAGGCAGACTCAGTGGACACTAGAGTCCTGCTGAAGTAAGTCTTGCTCTGTGGGGTGGGCCGGCCCCTACACAGCCGATCCTCCACAGTGGTTAGTGGTCACCACCAGTTCTTGCAGCTGATTGGCCTAGGGGTAAATCCCTCCTATTGATGTGCCAACAGCCATCAAGTCTCAACTACAACAGGAGGGTGTACACAGCCCACACCAGGGGAAGGGGTGCACCTGGAATGCCCACCTCAGGTGAATGGAGAGACTGTGCTACTGAACCCTACAGGACACCTACTACCATAAGACCACACTACCAAGCCCAGGAGACATAGCAGCTCTACATAATACACAGGGAGGCTGCCAAAATGAGGAATCAAAGAAACATGTCCCAAATGAAAGAACAGAAAAAACTTTAGAAAAAGAACTAAACGAAATGGAGACAAGCAATCTACTAGATGCACAGTTCAAAACACTGGTTACAAGAATGCTCAATGAACTTAGTGAGAACTTCAACAAAGAGATAGTTAGCACAACAAAAGAACATGAAAGCCATAAAAAAAAAAAAAACTAGTCAGAAGTGAGTGATACACTAGCTGAAATTAAGAGTAATTTATAACAGTCTTTGTGGGGAGTCACCATAGTTTTCTGCTTCAACAGTGCATGGATGGAACCCAGCAGTTGTCCCATCCCAGCCAGCCACTCAAATATAGCCTGCCATCTTTTCATGGTGCCCTTGGACAGGCCCAAGCCTCCCCACCACTGCTCCAGTGCCACACAGCCACCTCTTCTTAGCCACCCACCATAACAATGACTGCATCCATCTCACAGGTGTGCCAAAACTACCACAAGGACTCGGAGGCCACCATCAACCACAAGATCAACCTGGAGCTCTATGCTTCCTATATCTACCTGTCCATGTCTTACTACTTTGACTATAATGATGTGGCTTTGAAGAACTTTGCCAAATATGTTCTTCATCAATCTCATGAGGAGAGGGAACATGTGAGAAACTGATGAAGCTTCAGAACCAACGAGGTGGCCAAATCTTCCTTCAAGATTTCAAGAAACCAGATTGTGATGACTGGCAGAATGGGATGAATGCAGTGGAGTGTGCATTAGACTTGGAAAAAAGTGTGAATCAGTCACTACTGGACTTGTGCAAACTGGTCACTGACAAAAAATGATCCTCATTTGTGTGACTTCATTGAGACTCACTACCCAAATGAGCAGGTGGAATCCATCGAAAAATTGGGTGACTGTGTAACCAATTGGCATAGGTTGGTGCTCCTGAAACTGGCAAGGCAGAGTATCTTTTTGACAAGCGCACCATGAGAGACAGTGATGAGAGCTAAGTCTTCAGCTGGCTTCCTATAGCCATGGGGGTGACTATCCCTGGTCACCAAAGCAGTAACGTGTATGTTGGAGTTTACCTTTACCTTTTTCATAACTTGTACCAAATTATCCACTTATTCTTTCATTTATATCAAATAAAATAATGTCGTACCCAGAAAAAGAATAATTTAGAGAGAATCAACAGTAGAGTACATATCCTGGTCATTGTGGTTCAGTGGATTGAGCCTTGTCCCATGGACTGAGAGGTCCCAGTTCAATTTCTGGTCAGGGCACATGTTTGAGGTTTTGGGCTCGATCTCTAGTGAGGGGCTTGCAGGAGGCAGCCGATCGATGTTTCTCTCTCATCAATGTTTCTATCTCTTCCCTTCCTCTCAATAAATAAATAAATAAAAATGTATTAAGCCCAGCTGGTGTGGCTCAGTGGTTGAGCATGGACCCATGCACCAGGAGGTCGCTGGTTTGATTTCCGGTCAGGGCACATGCCCCGGTTGTGGGCCAAAACTTCAGTGGAGGACATGCAGGAGGCAGCCAATCGATGTTCTCTCTCCTTGATGTTTCTTTCTCTCCCTTCCTCTCTCTAAAAATCAATAAAGAAAAAAAAACATATTAACATTAAAAAAAAGTATATAAAGCTGAGAATCAAATCAATTTGGAATATAAGGAAGCAAGAAACAATTAATTGGAATAGGAGAAGAAGAAGAGGAAGAAGAAGGAGGAGAAGAAGAAGAAATAAAACATATGAACAATAAAATAGCAATAAATAAATAAAGTATTACTTGAATTTCAATTGCACTTAAATTAATGAAATACTGA